CGGAGCCACCGGAAGAGACTAGGCAGCCCTATTCTGCAAAACAATCTCAGAAGAAAGCTAATCACTGGACGAAGCATGAAGGCGAACGTATCTGCTGCCACATGGGGCAACCGAAATACAACACAAGCCTACTATCTCAAGCTCTCATGACAGCTCTAGTGCGACGCCTTGTCGCCTTGTTTTCTGAGACAGCGTCCGCTATCTTAAGGGTTGATCGTGTTACTGACTACGTTGGAGAGGTAAGCGAGATACTTGCGAAGACACGATATATGGATACACATTAAGAAGTGGATTGATTTTTGGCATTTAACGTCCCAAGATCACCATGTGAGAGACGCCGTATAGTGGAGAGCACCGGAAATTTCGACCACCTGGGGTTCTTTAACATGCACCCAAATCGGAGCACACGGGCCTACAACATTTCCGCCTCCGTCGCAAATGCAGCCGCCACAGCCGGGATTCGATCCCGCGACCTGCGAGTCAGCAGCCGAGTACCTAGACCACCGCAGCGGGGTCACATCAAGAAGTGCTGACCTGCCTGAAGCGAACAGCTCAAACGGTGTAGCTTGCAAATGCGATAAGCGGGAGCATTATACAAGAATTTCTACTTTTGAAGTGGATGCAAATCAACGATGCGTGTGCTTGCAAGTTTCTTTGTCATAATAAAGAGAGAGTGTAGTGCTGCGACAAGCATCTCATGACATGCCACCTGTATTCGCACGTCGCAAGAGTCGTCCTTGGTTGGTAGAGTGAAAAAAGGACGTAACGAACGAATAAATACAACCAGAAACGACATTTATCGCTTTCTCTCTTTTTTTACGCTGAATGGCGCACAGAAACCCTGCGTACACGGGACGAACAAGACCCGCTGACTCGGGGCCAGAGAAGAAATGACGAGAAACGAGGCCCCCTACACGTATTTGCCAATAAGTTAAAAAATAAAAGCAGCACTGAAAGGAACCAACAAGGCCAATCGGGCCTCAATTTACCCCTCCCTTTCTTCATTTCCCTAGCATAGTTTCGATTTTCCAAGTTTCCGACCCTTCCCATCGGGCCTCCGACGTCAAACTGTTTGACGTATTAATCCAGATAGCCCGAGGGTTCTTGCTCCCCCTTCCTGCGCGCTTATTTGGACTGACACACCACCCTCCTTTCCACATTCGTTTTCCGGAATAGAAAGAACATTGCGAGGGGAGAGAAGCAAAAACAGAGTAAACGAGTGTGAGGCTGGGGGGAGGTGAAAGGGTTCCTTCAGTGATTGCCCCAAGTAGCGGCCCCCGCCGAGATGATGAGGAACGAAGCCGAGTGGTTACGGCCGCCTTCGGCGCCGGTTAGGTCTAGCACGAGCTATAAGCTCTTTCCGCTCGAGAACCAACGCCCATTTGCTCCGTTCACAAAGTGGCTCGCCTGGGGCGACTCTTTCCCGAAATAAGCCTCCTACGTCGATCCCTGATGAGAGACGCGGCGTGGCCGCAAGTCAGAACGGTTATTGTCGTCGTGCGTCGTAAAAACTGTGACGAGCGGCACGAGCGATGAGGAATGGGCGACACTTAGAACAATAAAAGGACAGCCACAACAAGATGGCGCCGGTCGATACTTTTCCTCGATACCTTTCCGTAACAATAAACGTTTCTCTCGATACTTCTAACGCTCTCGCCCGCTTTGCATGCGCGCACGGCTAACAAAACGATTCAGACAGCACTCTCAAATTACTCCAAGCTTAGAAATACGAGCGACGGCTTCACGAAAAGGGACCCGGTTTGATAAAACACGCTGGTTGCTTTACTTTCAAAAGGCGCCGCGACGTCCCCGCTCATTCACGCCGGCCGTTTCAAGACCCTTTAAACCTGAACAGCTGGCATGTGACACAGTGGTCCATTCGGTTCACCGCGGTGACGCAAGCGTGAACTGGTTGAAATACGAAGCGTACCTGGCGAATAGCGGGCGACGGAAGAAAGCACGGAGGCGCTTCAGGGGTGAGCAAGAGTAAAGAAAAAAAAAAAAGCAAAGCGGCAGCAACAATCGATCGCAGAGTGGACAAAAATGCAACCTTATATTCCACCTCAACGGCAGTAGGCGGAAGGGTGTGCGTAACCAAATGGAGCGCAATCGACTGGACGCCACCACCAAACCACTCCGAGCAGACACGGCGCGCCGCACTCGTCCGTCGTTCCCGCAGCTACAGGAGGCATCGAGCGACCGCAAACACACGCGGCCTCCGCATGCAGGCGCGCTTGACCCTCACTGCAGTACAAGGCTGGCGGGGGGGGGGGGGGGGGGGGGGAGCCGTGGCTTTAATAGACGCCACGTCGGGGCTAATTAGCATCCCGTGACCGGGGCCAGAAACCGGGCATAGACGGGGGTGAGCAAAGCAGCCTCTGAGATCGAGGGCGAAGGTTGTAAGAGGCCTTATACCGCGAGGTGGCCACTTCCATCATTAGTTGGATGGGAGTGGAAGCTACCGCTTTGCAGGCACAGGCTGCTGTAGGCGTTATAGTGTGCTCATACCGCGACAAGAAAGCACTTACTGAGTATACGCACAGAGCTCGTTTGAGGATGAAAACAGGGTACGCGAATGGGCGACGACCATCAAAACTACCAGTGTAACACGCAGAAACACAGAGTTTGTCCAGTTGCAAAAAAGTTCGCTACAAAAAAAAAAAAAAAACAAAAACAAAAACAACGCGAGGACGAAAAAGGAGCGAAACAGAGCGAACGCTTTTTAAGCGCTCTGCACGGCCACTTGAACAAAACGTCAAATTTTGGCAGTCCTTTAGAGATGAGGTGAAAGAAGAGACTGAGAAAGAGCGGGGAAAAATACTAAAATAAATAAAGACAGAGAACTGCTTTATATACGAGTGCTACGCGCTGCAACTATAGATAGAAGGGACGCGAGCTCGTCAAGTTGCGGCCAATCACGTTGGACAACTGAAAGCTCTAGAATAACAACTATATAGTAACGAAAATTGAAAAAAAGGAGGAGGGTGGCAGCGAGGGGACTTTTCTTGAAAACCACGACTTTCAGATTTGAGAAATTTTAAAGAAAAAAAATCTTGCACACACACACACACACACACACACACACACACACACACACACACACACACACACACACACACACACACACACACACACACACACACACACCTCGCTCAGTGTGACGAAGTAATTTGGTTTACAAAGACGTCCTCGTCATGGCAACAACAGCGGAGCATAATTTTATCATTCTTCTTATTCATTTTGCGCTTTTCTTTTTGGCGGTCATATAAAATAGGCGTACTTCGAAGAAATGTTTAGAAAATCAAAACTGCGCCATTCCTCGCACAACGACAGCAGCAATCTCTCCGTTTCTCGTTTGCCTTCAACCAGAGACCATGGCATATAGCCGAGCGACTTTTGTCCACTTTGGAACATGCGCAAATATTCGCAAGTGCACGGAGTGAGGGCCAAAGGCGCGGGGACGCCCTGGAATACAAAAACGGCATAATGCGCAGCCATTCGTGGCTCACCGAACGAAGACGCCAACTTTCGGCCACTCGCTCGCTTTCTTTTGCCCTGTTCTCTTCCCCTGTTCATCTTAAGCTTCAAGAACGCGTAACAAGAAAACACTGGATGAAGAGAATCCCACCTTCCGTCACTTTAGCGAGAACGCATGAGCTTCTCGACGCAGTGGGAGAAAAAAAAAAAAAAAACATAGCATGGTAACAAAAACGAGTGGGCATGCGGTCGTCCGACAGCGGCTAGGGGGTCGGGGGCGGCGGCAATTCGATGAGACACGTGTCTTTCGCACGAGAAATTGCATTGCAGAGAAGCGGGCGTCCTTCTTTGGCAACCTTTCCGAATGCAGCAAAGGCGAAAGCGGGGAAAAAAAAAAAAAAAAAACCCTCCACAGCTAGACGTAGCATACTATGACTGCGGGAGTGAAACACGCAAGCTGCGAAAAAATAAAAAATAAAAAATCACGAGGCCTACGACCAAGGACTGTACGAATGCAGGAAGGGACCGTCGAAAATTCCTGCAAAGAAGTCTGTCCGCTCTCATCACGTCAGAACGCGTGCGTCGGCAGAAGCAACAAACGACCAAAAACAAGCCAAGCGAGCCATGCAGCCACACAAGACTTGCGAGCTCCACTCGAGTAGCGGTGCAGCATGTACTATACGGGGCGGGGATTTATCGCATGCGGGGCGGCGCTGTTGCGCGCGACACCTACACAGACAGACTGGCCGCCGAGCGACTGAAAGCTAGACGATGTTGCGTTACGCGAACGTACTGTTCTGGGGTTCGTATGCGGATGGAGTAGCGCGGCTGCAAGTACAGTGAAGTTGGCCACAACGAGACCAGGTGGAGGCGAAAAATTACGAGGGGCGGTCGCCTAGCCGTCCACAATGGCGGCGGCTGCTTCAAGTGCAAGTTTACGCTATATATACACTGTGAGCAAGGATAGCTCACATCGCTCGAATTACTGAAACACGCGCTAAACTTGGTCGCAACGTGATATGCCAATTTTACTAAACAACACTTGATGGATACTGCCGCAGAGAATGTCGAACAAGTTCAGAGCTGTCGCCAGTGGGTCGCGTAAACTCAACTCAAATTTATAGGAGTACGTGCAGTCGCTTCTTCATTTAATTAGAATGTAAACGAGGATAACCAGTGTAACGGCGCCTACGTGAATGGAATTTTTCGGGGGCCTGCGTCTACCATGGACTCCTTGGTGTAGCTTTGACCTGCATAGTCCACCCACATTAGCCACACAGGATGAAGGTCTGGTTTGACGGTAAGCGTTTACGCATTCCCATAGACGACAGAGAGCCATCTACGCCGTCTCCTGAACGCACGCGGCCTGCTGCGGTAACAGTTATGTGCATGGCATAGTAAACCGAGGGCTGCCTGAATGAAGGACGGGCAAAGATGGCGCCTCCCAAAGAGAGACGGGAAAAGAAGCAAGGAAGGGCGCTGCACTGCCATACGCGTGTATCACCATGCGCTGTTCCACTTACTATGTCTGTCTGTTTTCTTTTTCGGGAATGCTGAAAAGAGCAAGGGGATCAGAGTCAGGAGCGCTGCACAACGGCTGATTCGCGCACCACACACTGCTACATTTACGTCGAACACCCTCGAACCTATAAGAGCGCGACACACTGGCAACGTGAACAGACAGACAGAGAGACACTGCCGCAGTTGCGAATGCTTACGTAATGCCGGCGTTGTGTGAAAGTGCTGCATCCATTTCTTACAGTGAAATATCAACACAGCTTTCCAATATTCGCACAAAGGTTCAAGGATCTTTTTTTGCGATCCCTGGGTGACCATTAATGAACGCGTGACACAGTTATCAAATCTAGAATAAGGTCATCCCGGCGATGGAATATCCAAGTCTGGCGGTGGACGCTGAGGGTCGAAAAAGCAACGCCTGTCAATGGCCGCGGGGAGCCATATGCACGGAAAGATGAGAAAATGCTACTGGCTTTGCGGACGAGGCGAAGACGACTGCGAAAGAGAGAGAAGCAAGCCTTGAACGACTGGTCAGCACCACGTCAGAAACTTACTTAAGAAACGTGCAACACGCAAAGATAGAGTCTCCGTGTCGCGAACTCAATAATCCGAGAACAGCGAAACACCCGGTAAAGCTCTGCACGGAAGAAGGAAAGAAGGAAACAGCGAACACAAATATGAACTGAATAAATAAATAAAGAAAACCCAACAACAACTACGCAACTACGTGCTACGTAGGTGCATCACGGCAGAGCTTGGGTCGTCGTGCAGCGACATGCGACTACTGTCCGAGTCATACGAAACCAAGTACCTTCCAGGACCATGAAACCAACCGCAAAACAAAGAAAAATAACAAGAAAAGAAAGAGACTGAGATAGGAACGTTCGAATACGCCAGAGCGGCCGTGAGCCTGAAAAATTTCTCCACGCACTCTTACTAATCTTGTTTTACGCTACAAGAGGGGAGGAATGAGGTGGGTGGGGGCTCCCGCTTCAACCACGCGCTTTGGCGAACCCAGATAGCGGAGAAAACGGCCGCGGATCGCTACGGGTCTGCGTCTTGGAGCAGGGGCGCGTGAACCACGTCGACAAGCATTTGCAAGCGGACCGATAACGAGAACACGCCGCCAAACAACTCCGAGGGGAAGAGCGTGGGCGCCCAGCCAGCCTACGGGGAGGGGAGGCACGTCAACCCCCCCTCCCTAGCCTTTACTCGCCTGAGAGGTGTGAGAGAGGCTTCCACGGATTTAGCTTTCAGGGTTCGCTTTTCGTTGTGTTGCTTACAGCGATTTCGGATCCGTTCCCGTGGCGCGCACACACACACGAGGCGGCGCTTCTTCGCTCTTATATATCACGCACCTACACAAGCGCACGCGCGAATTACAGCAGCACCCAAAATGAGCGCTTCGCGGAGCACGAGCAACGGCCGCGCGTGCCGGAGCGGAGAAGAAAAAAACAACTCTACAACAGGCACGGGTGGAGGCAAATGCAGGAGAAAAGCACTCATTCGACTCGCATAGCCGATAGGACGCGCACGGTTCCGTGAGCGAGCGCTCTCCCAGCAAACGAAGAGGAAAAAAAAAAAAAAGTTTAGAGAGCCCTAATAAGGGGCATTCATGGCGGAAAACAAAAGAGGCGCACCACAGCTCTGCTGTTCCCTTGTGCATGCAGACGGGAGAAGCCTGAAAGGCAAGAAAAAAATAATAAAAATAAAAACGGCTAAAAGGGGATAGGAAGAACGCGGTCGGAGACAAACAAAAGGATCCCGCCGCAATACAAGCAAGCACACACACACGCGGACGCGGTGAAAAGCAGTGCCTGCTCCTTATCGGCAAAACAAAAGCCGCGCCGTCGGCCCGAAAACGAGCACGCGCGCGCGTTTTCACCGCATCGAAGAGGCGCCTATTGCTTCTCCCACCGAAACCTTTTCTTTCTTTTTTTTTCTGCCTGTTTTACCCTCAGCCTCCCCTGCACGCATTCGGCGGGTGGGCAGGCGGGCGCCGTCGAGCGTTCGATGAGCCTCCAAACACATGCATACATTACGGCGCGCCTCAAAGCACCGGTGCCCTCCCCTCGCTCTCTCACGGTTGCTGTTTCCCATGTACGCGCCATTGCTGGCGTTTTCCTTCAAACATTCCCTACGGCAGAACGCAAAAGCCCGAAACGATGAAAAAAAAAAAAAAAAAAAAACGACGTAAAAATCACTCGGACCAATGATCCCGGCAGCAAATGTATGCTGCTCGCGAAGACGGAGGGTGCAAGGAGAGAGAAACTGAAAGGTTTCGCGAGCGCGCACACACACTTTTACAGCGGGCTGCGCACCCGTGCTTGTTTTTCACGAGCACGGAGAAAACGGAGGGGGTGTAGTCGAAGAAGGAGGCAGCATCGCAGAGGACGCTGCAAACAGAAAGAAACCCAAAACACCGCCGCCGCTGGGGCGGGAAGTGGCGAAAAATTGCTCGGCTAAAGTCTCGGGAGCATCGGCAAATACGGACCCCGCCGAGCCGGTGCCAGCGGCCGGCCGATAAGGCCGCCCGCGAGGCGCGAATAGGGAAATAGGGACGAGCGAACACATCCCGCGCGTCGTGCAGGAAACCTTCCGCTACGAGGAAGCGCGCGGTAAATGCTCATCGCTGTTCTCGGAACATTTTCTTTTTTCTTTTTTGGTTCTCCTCGTTCCGAACTTCGCAGCGTCCTATCAGCGCACGACACCGGTCGAATCGGCACGAACGAGTGGCGGCGAGAAGCACAAGAAAGTCTGTAGTGCCACATCACACTTGGCTCTACCGAAGCAAAACGAGTACACTATTGAATTTTCGACGCTTTCGCTTTTGCTGCTTCACAGCTACGACACGGCTATAGGACGCGTAAACCAAGGAAGCCTCACAGCGACCTGGCCCGACAATCAGCCGCCTTTGGTTACTCTTCAGTATCACAACATGCACTGGCTGAAAACACACGCAGATGCGGTTGCGCTACGCAGTGCGCAACCGATGTTCCCTGCCCCACAAAAATGCTCGTCTAACGTTGCAAGCGCACATGGGCCTCCAATCGCAGCAATTGATCCGTTTTAACGGCTCACGGCTGCGCATGAAAGCGCACGTCAGACTACCCACTTCCAAAAAAATATATCACGGCATCCGCTCCCAAGTTAGCTTTCCAAACAAATCGCTTTGCCATGAATCCTGTCACTTTCGCGATGACTATAGCATGCCGCTACAAGATATACCATCTTCCCGTCACCCACCGTTCATATATAGATGCACTTCCTCATATCTATGTCGTTCGTATATAGATGCATATTCCTCGCAGCTGAATGAATGATTATTTCAGTGTTTCAACAGATATCATTTCTTTCCTAGTGGTTTCTCGAACTAAATAGTTATCCGCGGCAGTCAGGGGAATCAAATAAAAAAAAAAGCGAGGGCTGTCCAGCAGCGGACCTGCCACAGCGTAGTACAAGTGGGTAGATGACGCTTAAGGCAAGCCTGCTTTTGCCGTGGGTACCACAGCGGTCAGGTCATTGCAAGAGCATCGGTTACGCATCACATCGGTCGTCAAAAGGAGGCATGCACCGACGGAGCAGGAACTGCACTTACCCTTTTTTGCTGCGTAGAGATTGGCCTCTTCTTGCGCTTTCCCTATGTTCTTCTTGTATCGTATCCGCTTGTTGCCGAACCAATTAGACACCTACACGAATGCCAAGAAGGGCAGGGTGGAAGAAGAAGGAGTAAGAGAGAGAGAAAGCACACGTTTAAAATCTCGTTGTCACCAGCCAACACTTCTAACTACAAACAGTGAGGCGGGAGAATATGGAAAATTTCAGAGATTAGCAATCCTTGAACAGGAGGCGCCGCAGTAGTCATGAAGTGATTACTTTGACAGAGACAAGTCTTGTCAAAACTCAGGCTTTGGCGACACCCCCCCCCCTTTAAAGGAATTTTTATCTCTAGAAAGAGTACGGTTGCTAGGATACTCTTTTCTACTGCAACGAAAATGGCCGGAACGATCACTTATACACAAACGCGCATTAGCTTGAAAGTGAACCCAGCGAATAGGAAAAAAAAATCGCAAATACTTCGGCCATACTGCGCAGCAGTACAACGTCACTATTACATTCTTCTCGGCACAATTTTACATAAGCACACAGCGAGTGACGCGAACGTTTCAAGTCTGGCATATTTTTATACTTTCTTCTACGCCTTAACCACCATGTGAACATAACTCTTTCAATTTAGGATGAGCGTTTTTGTTTTTCGCCTACGATGTGGACGAGTTAGGCGAAGAGTTGTAACCAGGGGTACAGAACAAAATAATTCGGGCAAGTTAACCAAGCTACGTAGTCTACATTTTGTCGCAACCGCAGCAATCAGTGAATATAGCGGCTACTTACGACACATTATAAACAGAAAACCCGGGACACCGGAATGCAGAAGGCGAGAGAAAACAAGGGGGAAAAAAAAAGGGGGTAACAGAGGAGCCGCGCAAACCGTAAATGAGCCTGATAGTCACACTGGCCGAGAATGCCCGAGCAAGCGATTATCCGCTATCGTGTCAGACAGCACGGCTGCGGGATTCGCGGGCTCCTTCCTCGTCACGGAACCGCGCGTGCGAAGGCACAGTGAAAAGCAGGAGGCAACAACCACCCCCCTTGTATCTGCAGAGACGGCAGCAGCACGCAGATACAGCTGTCGTCCCGAACACCGCCGGCCGACGACACTGCGCTCGTTTCCCCCGCAGGCAGCCCCGCGTAAAATATGTGCGCACGGCGTCCTTATGCTGATTTCATCCGCGCGTCCCCGGCGAGCATGACGCGATGCGAGCGAAGGCAGCGCAGCGTGAACACGAGAATGAACGGGGAAGGAGCTAAAGGAGCGAGCCAGGAAGCCAGCCGAGCGAGCACCCCGCAACTCTGCTCTTCCGCATTTCCATCCTCTTTAATCGGCAGGGGGGGCGACTCGTCGCATTTCCATACTTTAGGAGCGCGAATAGCGCGTGGAGGCGATGAGAGAGGACACTTTTGCATAAGAACTTATTCATAATCTTCCGCAGGCAGGCCTCCCCCAACCTCTTCGCGCACGGTCTCCGCACGCAAGGCAGAGAGCGCTCCTCATCTCGGACTCGACGGCGTAAAATATGTCAGGCGGCGACAAGATAACTGGTTTATCGGCAATTCGACGGGGATTAAGAAGTCACCGCCGTCTTATATGGCAGAAGCGGAGACGAGGGACGCGGAGAAGGCGGCCTCCGGAAAGGAAGCACTGCAGTGACGAGGGCGCTGCATATATACGCAGAGGAACGCGACGCGTTTTCGGCGCGTTCACTTTGACGCCCGCCGACACTGTTGATACTGAGCTGCTCGCGGTAAAAATGTAACCGCGATGCGGTAAGCCGCCACATTATCTGTTATCTGCTATTAGATACAGTACGCTGGTTCACACGACGCTAGCAGTATAGGCTCGTCGCGGAATCTGCGTTTTACCGATATTACGACAAACTAGCTCCACGAAAACATGCGCCGCACCTCACTTAAGCCCGCGCAACCGAACTGACGCGAGAGTGGGTGGGTGGGCGAGCGCCACACGACCGTCGCGGGGAGGAAACATTCAAGCGGCGCCTCAGAAGCGATTAGGCAAAAAGCGGAGGAGAAAAGCGAGCCGCCGCTTCCTCAATTAGCCCCGCTTAACTACCTTAAACGAGATGCTTCCAAAAGTCTCTCCCCAAGGCTCCGCCGCCGCGAGGTACGATTGCGCCGCGTGGGTTCGCCGTCCCGCGCTTTTGCCAATCAGAGAGATGAGAACGCGCGGACTGGGTGCACTCTTTTGCTGGTCTGCTGACGAGCAAAAAAAAAAAAAATCATTTGCGGAGCACCGTATCACGCCTTTTAATTCTTCACTCGTTTCGTAGACAAGCAAAAAAGGTCGCGAGAGAGACGGAAAATTTTTAACGGGCCGAAGAAGGGCGGAGGATAGTATTCAAACTGCCATCCTGCAGCGACGCTTGTCACCTTTCTGTCGCAGCTCCCGATTACGAGAGCGAGCACCAGCAGTGGCAATTAGTTCTCCCGCACCTCGGATGATGCGTCCCCATTCTAAAAGCGCGGTTCATTCTTGCCCCTTTCTGAAATGCCCGGGAAGCGGATTTCTACGAACGGTATGACGTATGTACAGCGATTGTCGAGTGCGCCTCACGACAGCAACCTACGCAAACCAAATTTAGAAAACAAAAACAAAAAAAGCACCATGCGACTTCCAATTAGCGATTGCGTATAAATAAGCTTCACTTATTCGCCAACTCTGCAACGGTGCTGTCACGTCATAAAACTAGCGACGCAACAGATGCGTACTCCAAACAACACAGCTGGGGCTGTAGAGGACTCTCCGTTTTTTTTTTAAAAGGACAATGTCGAGCCGAGACTTACATTACAGCAAAAAGAAACCACATTCCACTGAGTAAAAAGTAACCTAATAGGCAAATTCCAAAGTAGCCACCACGAATAGTATACTCCCACTAATCCCACTGCAAAGCACAGAATGAAGTCAGCCACAGAATAGCTGACGCACTCCGAGGAAAGAAAAAAAAGTTCTAATCCCTTTAGTGAGTCCCGACTAGCCACAATATTTTACTCTTTAGGGTCCCGTGACTTTTCGACGAGAGTGTAATGGTTTCCAAATAGACTTCACATGTCTCTTTCAACAGTCATATAGGTGCCAAGTAAAGAATAGCATATAAAAAGTCAAATGACTCCCCCATCCCCCCCTTTTAGAGGGCAGTGGGCTGCGGAGAGGAAGACCTTGTTCCACAGTTATTGCAGCCTTCTTTTTTTCCCACTTAAAGACCACCTCAGGCGATTCGCGACGCTGCGTGTATGATTGCACCTGGACACGTACCTGAGAGACAGTGATGCCGCATTTCCTTGCGAGTTCCTCCTTGGCCTCCTCCGACGGGTACGGGTTGCTAAGGTGCGAGTAGAAGTACTCGTTCAGGATCTCCGTCGCCTGCTTGCTGAAGTTCCGCCTCTTCCGCCTGAAACGCACGAAGACTTCAACCGCGGCAAGGCCACCCAACACGAGCACGTAGACGCAACCGGGCACAATTATGTGAGCAGCACCATGCGACAGCCATCAACTCTTAATCATTCCTAAGGAGCAACGCTTGTTCTATTTATGTGTATCATTAACTGGAGTGACGCTGCAGAAGAAAGCAGGGCAGGATGGATGTTTCACACTCGGTACGCGACGAATGCACACATACTGTTCAGTGGGCAACGCTCTTCGCCAGTGCCCTATAGATAACAAGTGCTAGGGCGCGCGAACTGTCTCGATCATTCCCACAGCAAACCGAGAAGGAACAATTTAGCCGATTGTGTACAATAGTGCGAAATGACAACTCCGTTCATAGTGTCAAACACGCACGGCTCGAAATCACACTCATAGGAGTGCTAGAATTACCAGCATTATTGCCTTCATGTTGTCCTATACGAGCCGCGTAATGAAGACAAAAATAAATGGGAACGCACGGAGTCTAGTCAGATGTAAATTTCTCATCTACTACCCTGAAATGAGGTAATAAAATTAGGAAGCGGGCAAGTAATGAATAAGTCTGAGGTTGTAGTCACTCGCTCAGAGAGACAAGTTTTCTGTGTCGAAAGCTGAAACTGACCTACTTTTATTTTCAGCCAGCACAACCTGATTAAACAAGTGATAATGAAGAAGATCAAATCTAAAGGGCGCAACACCAAATATCAAACGTCACAAAAGGTTTTTGAACAGTTCATTACTCACTAAGTTGCAAGGAATCGAAATGTCCTATTAGCAAAAGCAGCTCGTCGTACTTCCCGGTGTCTTTGTCTTTTTTTTTAAACACGGCTTTCGGTATATCTGTCCTCATAGCACACAAATGCTACTCAGCGATGTTTATTTCACCGTCGGCAGCCAGAAAAGATTGAAAAGAAACGGGTGAGGGAAGGGGGGGGGGAGGTAAAGTGGGAGTGAGACTTCAACAACGGCGACAAGACGTGGACAAATGAGCGCGCGGTGACACGGAGACACCATCAGTCGCCGTCGTCGACACGAAAAGAAGAGAGAGAGGCGCGAAAGAATGAGAAAAGATATAGCAAACAAAAAAAAAAACGACACGTGACATCGCACGCCACGTGACGACACGCACTGACTGCCGCCGCACCCTCCACTCCCGCCGTGAGCTGCGAGGCGGGATGGTAAATGGCTAACACTACTATATGAGTAAGGATGGAGAGAGAGAAAAGGCGGTACAGAGACTGTTTCGAAAGGCAAAAACCGAGAGAGGCTTCCGGGCATTCGAATATAACAGATCGCATCACCCGGACAGCCCGGCGCGGCTGAGAAGAAATACTCTCGGCTCAACAGAGCGGCTTACAAAGCATCTTTTCCTGCACGACGATGCGCAGGAGAAACACGTGAAGTACAAGAAAAAAAGAAAGGGGGGGGGGAGAAGAGGAAGAAGGGGGTGGCGGCCTGTTATAAATTGCACGATTATTCTAACGAACTTTAGATTTGCGATCCATTCATTCGGTTGCGCGCTTCCAGGCGTGTAACGGCGACGAAAAAAAAAAGAAAGGACACGCAGTCGTCACAGCGTCGTTGCCTCCCCTCTCCCCCCCCCCCCCCCAGGAAAAAAAAAACGACCATGAACGGCAGTTCGAAACTCATCCCTCCGCTTCATCTCTGTGCTTTCCTCGTACTGCCCTCGTTGCCCTTTCGTTTAGACCCGTTCTTTTTTTTTTCTCTCTCTTTATGTCGAACTCCGTCATTTTCGCTAAAACCTTTCCCTTTCCTCTCGACCTTGTTAAAAATTTTTCCGCGGCGCTCATTTCTGAGCTTGTCCTCTTGAAAGGGAGAGAGCCCCCTCGGCACTCCTTCATGCAGTCCTCATATGGTTCAATGAAAGCGTCCTGCTGTAAGTATAGCGCGAGAAAACGAATGCTCGCCTCCGCCCACTACACGACGTTACGCCCGCGCATCGCTCAGAACCGGCGGAGACCGGCCCCCGTCCCTTCAACGTTTTGTTCTCGCGATGCGTCGCCTGAGAAGGTTGCGTCGTTATTTCAGCACTACTAGTCTAGAGCTGTTTTTATTTCTAACACAACACACACACACGCGCACACATATATATATATATATATATATATATTATATATATATTATATATATAATATATTATATATATATATATATATATATATATATACAATTCCTGTTCTGTTTCTTTGGTTCACTGCTTCGACACCGGGCAAATAACGCGATAAAAAACTTTCAAGAAACGAGAGAGAGGGGGCGGAGCAAGAGAAAAGTTTCTGTACATCGCTTCACCAATGAGCTCATCACTCTTTCTCTTGTGTCGTTGCGAAAAGCGGGGCGCGCCGTTATCAAGCAGCAGCAGCAGCAGAGCCAATCATTCGAGCAGACTGGTGGCTGCTCCGCCACGAGACGAAAAACACGAAGCACGGCGCGACGGGCGACTTTCAATTCTAGCATCGGGCTCTATTTGCCCGCTCCTTGGTTCAAGCTTCGAGAAAGAAGAGACTGTCCTGCGCAACCACCCAGACTGCCCCAAAGCAGAGGGAAGAGGAGGCGTGATGCAAATGAGCACCCGAAAGATTGGAAGCGGCAAAATGAAGGAAGTTACGCGAGGAGAATGGCACACTGATCTGCTCGATTGGTTTGGAGTGACTTGCTTTCTCGTCACTGAGACGGAAGGTAGCCGGGGACAGAATAGGAAATGAAGAAAGAAGACAATCGCACTAAAGACCTAATATGACGCGTCGCAGAGGAGACGAAAGAAATGGGGGAACTCAAATCCCTGCAATCAACCGAGCAGGTCCAGACAGAACTCCGGTGAGTCGCGCGTGTTCCGAGGAACGGCAAGTTGCAGTGAATCCGCCCATTGGGTCGTTGCGAAGGGAGAACGCACGCGGAACGAGGGGAAACAAGCGAACGCGGCAGGTGTAGCAAGAAGGATCAAACTGAAGTGGCATTCGCAGGAGATGAAGATGAAATACGCGATAAGAGAGTCAATCGGATGACAATCGCGGCTGCAGCACGGCGTCGTGTGGCATCCGTACTTTTATTCTTTGTCTTAGAAAGAGAGAGAGAGAACGGTTACTAGTGCGATGGTGCAAACGGTACATGAGCGCAATCTGCCTGCGCCACTGTCTTTAAGGGCATGACCGAGAAAAGGCTCGCGGGACGCGTTACGTTAGCCACGCTGTACGCAACCTTCGTTCCTTCCTCCGTTTCGCAAGCCGGGGGGCGCCAATGCCCAATCGCGGATCAGGAGGTACCCGTATGACACAAACAAGTCGCGCTCGAACGAAGCAATAGCAGAGTAGTAGCAAAATCGGGAAACGGGGCTCGTTCGCTCTAGTCGCCCGTCTCGCCACGGCATAGGCGATCCGGTACTTAGGTCGACGACCATTTCGCCCTGCTGCGCCGCACCATTATCCGCCTGTGTCTGCATTGTCAAAAATTTGACTTACTTTTTTTTTTTTTGCACATCCCACCCGGGATCTGCGCTCGTCTGCTCGACGGATGTCATCGCAGACAGAAGCAGCAGGCTACGAGAACGATGCCGTTCAACTTCCCATCCATCACTCTCGTATCCCAATTTTTCCCTCGTTCACCTCCCCCCTCCCCCTCTTCTAAGAGCTTTACCGTACTGCCCCTGCTTTCGTTCCAAGTCGGCCTATTGTAACTTCGTTGGATTTCTTCAGCAATTGAAATCTGCCACCTTCTCCCTAACATTGCTTCCTGTCCTGCACTCAGGCGATTAAATGAAACGAAATGCCTCCCACACCCTCCCGTCTTATTTATGTTACACGTGCGAACACTGCACACACTGCACATACACACACATATACACAGACGAGAACACATCGGATAGATAGATAGATAGATAGATAGATAGAGATAGATAGATAGATAGATAGATAGATAGATAGATAGATAGATAGATAGATAGATAGATAGATAGATAGATAGATAGATAGATAGATAGATAGATAGATACGCTTTCGGCCCAGGCGTACAGCCAGGACATTTTTTTTTGTTGAATGAAACAAAAATACAGTTTCATTTTAAGGTAGACCTTCACAGACTGCTGCCCTGTCTGTTCACTCGAGGAATGATTAGGACGGCTCACTGATGTCCAATAGTGGCGCAGCTGGATCACCGATACCGCCGCGGTTATTACTGAAACTGTGCAACAACACGACAAGGTAAACAAAATAATCAAATTGGGAAAAGAACGAGGGCGTCAATTTTTAAGGGACTCTCCAGAGTTGTTCGTATGGAAGGGTACCACAATACAGTGGGCGCACAGACGGCTGAGATATGCCGACTGAAAAAAGCGCAATGCAATAAGCAGCTTAGGTGTACTGCCAGAATTAACGCCACTATGGGGAAATGCACAAATCACTTTACCGAGTGTCATTTCCACGGCCAAACAAACATCGCTCACGAATATCGGGCACCCGAAATTCAAGACTCGCGCAATCCACGCATTCGGCAAGCCTACTTAAAAACGAATCCAAGACGGGTTTTTTTTTTTTGCGAGAAACCTCTTCACACCTTCCGCTACTCGCTCCGAGAAGAAACAAGTGCGGCCTTTCTTAAAGACGACGGCTTACTGCGCGGCTCTTTCGCGAGCTGTAGAGTGGAAAGCGCAGTCTGAAAAGTGGCGTCGTTAATCAGCCGAGAAAACTTGCCCCCTTTTGCTGCACTATACACTGTATTCCTTCACAATCTTTTTTTTTCTTTTTAAAACCCAGAACCGAACGCCGCGATTCTCCATTAATAACCGGCGAAATCGCCACGGCAAGTTCAGCGATATCATGCACGCGCACGACCTAGAAGGAATAAAAATATGCACGTACATATGGTAAAGTGAAGGGCGATGCGACACAGACAAACGCATAGGCTAGGCATGAAAACATAATAAAAAATAAAAGATACAGGGCCTGGCCGCTACTATCGCCTCTTCACTGCCATCACACACACACACAAAATAGAGAGAACACGGGGGGGGGGGGGGCACTTTAATAAGCGCCTGCGATAAATACTCGCCCGCCCACCCCGCTTCAAACTCTTAGCTCACCGAAAGATATGCGCGAACATATTCAACGCAACAGCGAGATTTCAGGGAAAAAAAAAGGTGCAAGAAAAGAATAAAAGAAAACGCGAAGCGCCCACCACGAGGCTTAAGAACCACTTTCCACTGGACGGCAATAACAAGCGCTGTTACGGACACGCACACGCACACAGAAAAAAACTTTGAAAGGTGAAGACTTAGTATCGGCGGCAGGTCTTCACGATAACAAACTTCGACGAAAAACTTTGCGATCGGCGAGGGGGTTGCATTAGAGGCAGTATGGAAATTCCCTGCACGCGCTTTCACCCTCAGCAAGGTCTCCCTCCAAACCTTCCTAATAAAACTCCGAACGCTTACTATCGCAAAAAAAAAACAAAAATAAATAAAAGGTTAAAGGTAGACCGTGACTAATATCCGCCCCAAAACAATAACACACAGCCAATGCGCACGCCGCAGGTTCACCAGACGAAGCGGGGCCACCGTAGAACGACGTACCGGCGAGGCACATTCGCGAAAAACATTTTGGCAACATAGCGCAGGAATTAAAAAATAAAACAACAAAAAACGAGAAAGCAAATACGCACGAGAAAGATAAGTCGGCATGCTAGTTTAGAGGCTGGCAACATTAAAACACAGGCGGCCATTCTTTTCAATCCCCCCCATTCTCCACCTTCTCCGCGTTTCTAAGGAGAGCGGCGCAAGCACTTTTAATTTAATTACGTGAGGAGAGAGACTTCCTCGGGAGTTTATTTATAAATCGCGGCTTAATAAGACACAGCCGTCCCCCTGATTTCTCCGCCGCCGTACGTAGCACTCTCCGCCACGCTGCTCGCTGTTTTCATCCTTTCAGCCCTAATTTTTATTTCATCGCTCATAATTCTCCTTCTCACAACCCAGTCTGCGAGCAGCTCGGTTTTGCATCTAGAATCATGAGCTTCGCGCCAGCAAGAGCGAGAGTAAAAAAAAATATGAACAAAAGGAGTGAGAAAAACACGGGGAGAAACAGTGAACTTTTAATTGTTATTTATTCAGACAGAGAAGGGTCCAGCTCCTAGCAGACTCTTGAAGAGCAAGAGGCTTTCTAGATGCTCGTTTTTCATTCCCAACTTTTTTATCTTTTATTTTTTAAGCCTTGAAAGGCGGCATAGTATGAAGAGAGAGAAAGAGGGGGTCGAAGCTAGCGCCCAAGGCCCCGCCGCGGCACAAACCATAAACATCAACCCCGCGATAGAGTGTTCTTTCAAGTCAGCCTCCTTGCGCGCTCCGGTTTTGAATTATGGCAGCAGCAACGGCAGCGTAAGGCCGCTGCCACTGTCGTTTCTGCGAAGGCAGAACAGCAGAAGCAGCAAAGATGGTGGTGGCAGAGGCTCGCCACTCGCGCTCCTTAATTTGTTTATCAACCCTCTCGAAGAAAAATTGAAGGCCCGCCCAGGCGTTTCCCCCTTCATCTCCCCGCTACGCGCCTCACACTCTCTCTCTGAGCTCCCCTGCGAAATCCTCTGGACCCCGGCGGTTGTATCACTCTCACACACACACTTACATACAAACATGCGCTCGAGCACAGCACACAACAGTGAACGCATATAACGTGCAAGCCGCATAATGCCCCGCAGTATGGCATGAGCAAGATGATTTTTTTTACACTGTTTGTTTGGTCGCAAAAGCTTGCCTTTAAGGTTCAGCTGCTCATGAAAACAACACAGTGATAACGGCAGCACAAAACGAAGATTAGCGAAGAAAGAAAGAAAGAAAGAAGGAAAGAAAGAAAGAAAGAAAGAAAGAAAGAAAGAAAGAAAGAAAGAAAGAAAAGGATGAGGTATTTTGGCCTGCGCTGCATGAGCCAGGGGTTCGAACCGCGGCGCTGCCCGCTTGGAGCGGAAAGGCCCTCCCCTCAAGTCTCAAGGGGAAGATCCCCAGGGACGCTGCGAATAATAAGAGCGGCTTCCCGCGGACGCTGCGAAGCGCAAACGCGCGCTGCAGGGACGAGCGGGGTAGATTTATCACGGCTTATCCTGCAGATAAAAGCACCACGGGCACTTTTGGCGTTGCTTTTTCTTTTTCGATGTCTGTGCGGTGGCCGCGTTGTTTTTCCACCTTCTCACCATATGGCGCTGCTCTGAAAGGCGGACTGCACGGTATTCATTAGGGAATGTAGATGGATGTCGCAGAAGCCGCTCGAACGTTCAACGAGAGGTACGACTGACCAATGTGCCTTCAACAGAATATACAAGTTGCGCAAAGCCATCAGCCAATTTGAAGCTACTACACACCATAGAGAGTTGTTAGGTGCAAAGAGCGCAAACTTTATTCAATGAACGCGCTACACCAGCGAACTGAGCTAAATTTGCGGTAGCGTGTTACATATAGCCGAGAAACGAAAGCTACGAGAAATGAAGGCAGGCCTCGATACATAGCGCATATGCGAAAGTCTACACAGTATGAGCCGCATCTATAACATAATATTTTTATCTGCATGCTAGAGAACATGTTAAATCGTAAGATTGCGGTACAACGAGCTGCCTGAATCGAAGTTCTAGCAACGACGAACTCGAAATGAAACTACGAGTAAGCCTGGCACGCACCTGGCATCGAGGAACCTGGAGCGGAGGATCATGACGGCTTCGCAGGTGCTCTGCTTGAGCTGCACCTGGATGGAGTTGAACTTCTTGTGGATGATCTGGACCATGCGTTCGATCTCCTTGGGCGTGATGGGACGCGTCCGGCTCTGTTCGCGCAGCAGGTTCATCACGTGCGTCGTGAACTCGTTGCACGCCTGGGAAGAACAGAGCAAAACGACACAGGTTAGTGACACGTACATCCACCAAAAAAAGCGTAGTAAGCATTTCGCGACGAATAGCTGCGGTTCAATAAGGTTTACAGTAGTGAGAGAATACAGGTACATAATGCAAATCAGATTGCGTACGTACAAATGACACGAAGGCTGCGCGCCACCGCTGTAAAGAACACGGGATCTGGTCTGGGAAAATGCCCTTTCAAAGATGGGTTCGTGGTAAGTGTAGTTGTAAGCCATCAGACAGCCACAAAATGATGACCCGAACATTAATGAAAACCTCATTAAGAACGATCAGGGCACGACGCTACCTAACGAATCTTCACAAACATTCACGGAGAACACTGCGCATGGCTCAAATAGTTCAAGCAGTTCAGTACTGTTGATTCACAGTATGTAAAGCTACCTCTACTAAGTTGCTGACATGAAGCCAGATCAAGCAAAGTGCCACCGGAGGCAGCACTGTTTACGCAGGGTTAAAGGTCTGCTTCCGCCGAGATCGGGGTCAAAGGACAACGTTGACAGAGAGAAGAGGACGAGAAGGGAGAGGTGTGAAAAGTTCTTAGACACATTCTCGCGCCTCCAGCGCGGGAAAAGAATCGGACTGTAAGCCACATTGAGCAAAGAGAGAGCGCGTTGGCCACTCCGGATGAAAACACGGCAATCTCGAAGCCGCTCACTGGGCGTAGTAGACCAGACTACCCGCGTATGGCTGCGCGGGGGAGGCCTAATCATCGGCGATGGTTTCCATCGGCTGACACAGGCGCGCATAAAGCCAGACGGTGCACGAAGCGGGCTCCTATCCCCCTCCCCGCTGGCCTTCCAACCCGCAGGGCCCCTTTTATCTGATTGAAACGGGCTGGCCAACAAAGTTCCCGGCGGCCAGTTTTTCCTCGGCGCTGCTTCTGCCCAAATAATAGCATTATGGGACGTGGCCAAACACTGATCGGACGGCCGTCACACGCCGGGCGTTAAATTCAAACGGACAAGCGGCCAGGCGTCACGCCGACAAAGTAGAGTGTAGCGAAGCCCGCCGCGAAAATAGGTCCAGCCATGGTTAGAGCCCGTACGCAGGCAGTGGCGAAAATGAAGAAGCAAGAGCGAGAGGAGGGGAGATATAAAAAGCGTTAGGCGCCGGTAAATGCTGCAGAGAGCCCGCAACGGCCACGGCCGAGTTCACGCGCCGCCGCGAAAGCCCACCATGCATCCGCGCATTCGGCTTTCCCGCGGCAAGGGTACTAATGCGGGAAAGACAGATTGCGGGGCAGTCACGGCCCTCGCCGGACGCAGTCGTCCACAAGATTCGAAATGACAGGCAGCGATGCGCATTCCGAGTGTAGCAACTCCAAATGAAGGGCCGAGGAGTCCGACACCGCAAAATACGTTAAAATGAAAAAAAAGAGGGGGGGGGGGGACACCGCATTATCTTCTATTAGGCACCATGAGTCGACCCGTGTCGACCTGACGCGTAGCGCTACAACCTACTATGCTACTCATTGCGTCGTTAGGTTCACGCTGAGAGAACCTCAAAAGCACCGACCTAAGATGTTTTTCAGTTATCTAATGTATTCACTATTCCACCTGAAAGTGAAGGTACATTTATATTTTGTATAAGGTATTTGCTACTACAGAATGTATCAATACTCGCCGTAGACTTGTTCTCAGCAGAAAAAAAAAAAAGTCAGGTATGAACTTCCACAGGTCCAATAAGTTAGCACAGTGTTGTGTTACTTCACTTCCTGTTTTCAGACGTTGCGGCATGTGCATCCTTAAGATCCAGTCGGCCCTGAGAACAACTAATTATGGAGATATCTATTCCTGTCTCGCCGCCTGCACAGGGAACCACCATTATGAAAAGGAGCAAGCAACTAGTTTAGTCCAACGTGCCATGTCCAATGTCCTTCGACGCGAAGTCAAACAAAAAAAAAAAGCTAGAAAATGGTTAGGAAGACGTGAAACGCGTTATGCGGCGAAAACTAACAACCGATAGAAAAAGGCGAAGGGACAAGGACGAGTGGAAAACAAGTAAACAAATCGGAAACGACTCACAAGCGGCATTCCTTCAGCCGCTTTGAAGAAGCACACGAGAGAGTTGAGGCACCAGAACGAAATAAATAAAAAAGGCACACTTTCTCGCCCAGCAGCTTGCCACATCCACCCAGTGAACGAAATCGCCACATATCAAAGGGAGGGAGAAGAGCAGCCATACAGAGAACTAGTAGGAGTAAAGCCCTCTGACCAAGGCCGATACGTGCTTACACCGAGTGTATAGCCTCCGCACAATCAAGCAAGCAGAACGCATAGCTAAATGCGGCTCACGCACCAACACCGGACGGCTCCGTCTCGTTCGTTCGTAAGCACCATTGGCCGGACATCACACACGTGACTGCCGTGACAAGTCACGATTGGTCAAGAACTAGAGCTCCCTCCTCGCCGTTGGCTATCATCTGGCTATCACGCATCCATTTTCTACTCGGAGCAAAACAGAAAGAGCCGCAGCGAATGAAGAACAAAAGCGCCGTTTCTTTTTATCTCACTCGTTCTCTCATTTTTCGATTCTCCTCTGGCTGACGCTTTAGTTGAACCATTTTATCCGCATATACACACAATTTGGCGCAGTTTCTCTGGCCCTGCTCGCTGTCGGCCGCCGTTCGCGCCGCCGTTCAAAGGAGTAGGCCGCCGCAGGGCAGCCAAAGCAGGGAGGAAAGCGCAGAGGGCGTCGTTCTAGGGTTCCGTTTTCCCTGGAAGGCTGCCATTTCCTGGAGGCCCCCTGTTTGTTCGCGGAGACAGTGATGAGTGTGGTAACCATTTCTCTTAATGGGCATCATCTATTACGCGTCCAGAGAACAAGGCTCGCCGCCGCCCCAAGGCGCTCAGGAGGGAGAACTGGAATCGAAAGGAAAGCGGCCTCCTCCCCACCCTTCTCCATCAAACCTCTTTTCGTCAGCTCGCATCCTGTCGATAGCGCCAGGGCGCCCAGCGACACAAAAGAGACACGGCCGGCAACCGAGGAGGAGGTGATGGCTAGCTCCACTCTCAACCAGCCCTCCTCCTACGCTGCGAGAATGCCCTCTCCCCCGATTTTTTTCTGCCAACCAAACGATCACGCGAACGGACAAACGTACGGCGACGCTGAAAGCTCGCCCGATTCGGCATTTCTCGAGTCCCCTTTTCAGTGTGACCGAGCAAGGAGAAGGAGCTATCACTTTTCACCCTGCAGGCAGCGCACACTCTTGCACAACACCCACGGTTAAATCTGCGCAGAAAACGAAGACAGGAAAACAGCCAGGCCCATTTGGGCTGTGCTCTCACCGCGAATTAAAGCGCGAGCCCGCCGGACTTGGCCCTCCAAGAGGCGAGCTCCATTCGCTTCGTTATCGTTCTGTACACTTTCACATTGCGAAACGTTGGCGCGCGTCTTTTCAGGCCGAAATGAGGAGTTTAGCTAGTCTTATGCTCGTCGGTAAATCGATGCTGTTATAAGACTCCGTGACAGCCGCATCTGTAATACGCGTCCAATTTTCCAGCGACATGTGTGTGAAAGGAAGGCGTAAAGAGAAAACTGCACTACGGACAAAGTGAAAAGTTCTGAGAACACTATAGTTGACGAGAAGAACTAACGTGCTATGCATACACGGTAAAAGATTCAACAAACTAACCATTCGTTGCTTTCATCGTCTGTACTCGCACTAAGAGACCCACTTTAAAGACAAATCGCATTGAGGCGGCTATTGCAATTTGATGCAACAGAGGCTCATACAAAAGAAGTCAAAATTTACATCGCTGCAGACGAATATTTCCTGCAATGTTGTTTTTTTCGTACCGGCAAGTATACGCTTCCTTGCTCAATTTCTTGACTCATTTAGGCCGCTTATTGATACTATACTGCCAGTCGCGTTCTTTTAAGCTGTTAAATTGCGTATCAACTAGAAAAAATCCGGGCTCCCACTTTATACATCTGTTTTCTTCTTTTTTTTTCAGTGGCTCAACCACAACTTGTGTCTTACATTCCCGTCAACTTCCTACCGCTTTGGGCACAGCTGCAGCCTTTAAAGTCAGAACCCGAGCACGGCGAGAAATAACTTCTGCGAAAGAGACAAGCTGATGTACACTGAATAAGCCGTATGTAATTTACTGCGATAGTTAAGTTGCAATGTTAAGAACTACAATTTTACGACATGATGTTTTATTACCTAACCTACCACCACCCTTTCCGAAACATACACTATAAATATTGCGCATGAAGCCGACACACATAGGCTGTTGCCCACAGGCACTCTACACAATACAACCAACTGGACACTCGAAGCAAGAAGCAAGACACAAATACACAATCTACGTCATTAAAACATACACGCAGTACAGAAAAGCAAGACTATCGTGCCAACATAGACGCCCAGAACCAAGAGCGGCCAGCCCTCGAGCCTTCCGGGCTCGCAGTTGAATCGTAACGCTTCCTCCTCTGTACGCGCATTGCGCGTTTCTACGTCGGCGGGACAGCAAACAGGACCCCGGAGACTGTGACCACGAAGCAATCAATAGATTCGCCCGAGGGTATCGCGGTCAGGCCCCGACAGAAAGCAAAGCTGAGGACACAGAGCAAGCTCAGCGAAGGTCGGAAAGAAGAAGAAAAAAAAAAACAGTCCCAAAAAGGAGTGCAGTACAAGCAGGACAAACTGTGGACGCAACGCGAAGATCCTAGCCAAGAAAAGAAACCACAGGCTATCGCAGTGTGCGAGCTATACACGCTATAGCCGGACCTTTTCTTATACAAACCGAAAGAATTGCACGTTTTGATAGAGGCGAAAAAAACCGCGGGCTATGGGAAGTGCCGCCGTCGTGTGATTCGGCCAAGGAGAATCGCCAAACGACGCGTCGACGGCAGCAGAGTTTCCGCGCGGCCGTTGCGCGGTGCTGAGCCAGCACACGCCACCCGGTGTTGTCCTCTTCAGAGCACTCCCCTCCCGGACGGCGTTCGGGCC